GGGGGGAGGGATGACGGAGTGAGTGCCCATGACGAGGGGGGGGGGGACCGGCAATGCGGCACGCTGCACACGCACCATGGCCAGCGGCCACCACGAGGAAAAGGCGCCAGAGCCACAGAAGGCCACCCCGGCGCCGCCCTCCACAAAGACCGGCAGGCGCTCGATGCCCACCTGGCTGGGGCGGGCGATGAGCGACCGGGAAATTTGATGATGCCGCGCATGGGCCAACAGCTGCGGGGTCAGGTAGGCGGAGCCGGAGAGCCCGGCCCGGTCGAGGGTCTCGGCCAGATGGACGCCGCCGCGCAGGGCGGGCCCCGGGTCGATGCTGGCGGCCAGGCCCTCGGCATCGGAGTCGGCATCGGTTCCGGCAGGGCCCTTGGCGGAGCCGGTGGCCGCCGGCGTGGCTGGCTGCCCGGCCAGCCAGGGGGTCGGCACATGGGCCAGCTCGCCGGGGGCAAAGTCCGCGTCGAAGCCACCCAAGCCGGGCCCACACCCGGGGGGCTTGGTGTCGCCGGCGGCCGCCGAGCAGTCACCGGCGGCCGAGGACATCATCGTGGCAGGCACCGTCAGCAGGAGCTTCGAGGGGGAAACGCGCGACGCCGGGGCATCGCCCGGCGGGGTAGCCCCATCCGAGCCGGCCAGCAGCCCGCCGCCGCCGCCGCCGCCGCCGCCCCCATGGAGCCCGGGGTCGGACATGCGCCGCGGCATGGCCCCGGGGATCGTCAGGAGGACGGCGCCGGCGGCGCCGGCATGCACAGCCGGCAGCCCGAGCCCGTGCACGGCCTCGCCACCGGCCGACAGGTCGAGCGAGGCGCGCCGGCTGCCCGGGCCACCGGCCGGCGTCGCGGCCAATGGCGAGGGCGTCCTGCCGCCGGGGCCGGGCCGGCCGGCCGGCGTGGAGGTCACCGGCGAGGCCGGGCCCCCGCCGCGCGGCGAGGGCGATACCGGGGGCGATCGGCCGGGATCGGCGACGGGCGCACCGCCCCCGGGGGAGGCCCCGCTGCCGGAGCCCGGCGCGCCGGGGAGCGAGGTGGTCGGTGACCCGCTGCGCGGCCCCCCCGGATGGACCGAGGGGGAGCGTCGAGTGCGCGCGCGCGAGCCCGCCGCCGGGAAGCAGTCAAGCACCAGGTTAAAGGCGATCAGGCTTTCCAGCTCGCGGGCCATGCGATTGCGTCTGGGGGCCGGGTCCCCCCGGCGCCGGGAGAGACGGGGCGCGCACGCGCGCGAGAAAGAGAGGGAGACAGGGAGACAGGGAGAGAGAGAGAGAGAGGGGGGGGGGGGGGGGCAGCGGAAGGGTCAGTGTCGGGCTGGATCGCGGATTGTGACCGGCCGGATGCGGCGAGCGGGAGGAAGGGAAGCGCACTTAGGGGCACTGCCCGAGGCGGCCCCCGAGGACGGGCCGCTGTTGTTGCCGCCGCCGCTGCTGCTGCTGTTGCTGCTGCTGCTGCCGGAAGAGTCCGACAGCGCAGCCAGGTCGTGCCGCGGGTCGGTGGCCGGCGGCTCGGGGCTGGGCTGCGTCATGGCCGGGGTGCGAGCGGGCGACAGGCGGGCTGCCTGGTCGGCGGGGCTGCCAGCGGCGGGGACAGCAGCCGGGGGCGAAATCGGCTCCGATCGACCCAGGCGGTGTGGTCGCGGCGTAGACAGAGGCGAGGGCGAGTAGGCCTCGGACGACGTGGACTCCGGCAGCGGGACACTCGATTCCAGGGACATGACATGAACCGGCGGGCTGGGAGCTGGGGCAGTATTGAGGGGGGGGGGG